GTTTCTTGAAGTAGTGTTTTGTAGTTTTCTTTGTACGGGTCTTTTGTGTTCCTGGTAAGATTTATTCCCACGTATCTTATCTTTTTAGTAGCTATTGTAAATGGTATTGATTTCCTTATTCCTTTTTCAGCAATCTCTTTGCTGGTAGAGGAATCCAGCTGGTTCTTGTGTGTTGCCCTTGTATCTCACCACTATGCTAAGTCTTTCAGTAAGTTCCAGTAGTTTTCTTGCTGAATCTCTTAGTTTTCTATATATATATAGGATCATATTATCTGCAAATAGAGATAATTTTACTTGTTCCTTACCAATTTGGATGCCTTTGATTTCCCTTTCTTGCCTTATTGCCATGGCTAAAACTTTCCAATACAGTGCTGAATAAAAGTGGAGATAGAGGGCATCCTTGTCTCATTCCTGTTCACAAGGGAAATGGTTTCAGTCTTTCTCCATTGAGAAAAATGTTGACTGTTGGTTTTGTATATAAGCCCTTTATTATGTTGGGTTCAAACCCACCAGCCACTCCTCAGAAGGAAGGTTTGGCAATTTACTTCCATAATGATACTGCCTCAGAAACCCAAGGAGTAGTCACTATGAGTCAGATCTGACTTGACGGCAGTGAGTTTGTTTTTTTGGTTTTATTATGTTGAGAAATTTCATTTCTATTCCTATTTTTCTGAGAATTTTTCTCAGGAATGGGTGTTGGAGTCTATCAAATGTTTTTCTGCATCAATTGATAAGATCACATGGTTTTTTTTCCTTTATTTTACTTATGTGATGGATTACATTGATTGTTTTTCTAATGTTGAACCATCCTAGCATACCTGGTATGAACTCTACTTGGCTGTAATGTTTTCTTTTTTTTATGAGTTATTGGAGTCCATTGGCTAGGGATTTTTTGAAGACTTTTACATCTATATTATGAGGGATATTGATTGATAATTTTCCTTTATTAGTGCTGTTTCTGCCTGGCATTGGTATCATAAAATTGCTTCAGAAAATGAATTTGGGAGGATTTCATCCTTTTCTATGTACTGGAATAGTTTGGTGTCAGTTCTTCTCTGAACATTTGGTAGAATTCCCCAGTGAAACCATCTAGGGAATTTTTTATGACCTGTTCTTCGTTGTTATGAGTCTGTTCAAATTTTCTACCTCAGCCTGTATTTAGGTAAGTAGTATGTTTCTACAAATCTGTCTACTCCAGATTTTCAAATTTGTTGGAGTACAGTTTTTCATAATATCCTGGTACTATCCTTTTTATTTCAGTTGGTTCTCTTGTGATACTGCCCATTTCATTTCTTATTCATGTTACTTGTATCTTCTCCCTCTTGTGTTAAGTTTGCCAGTGGTTTGTCAATTTTGTTAATCTTTTCAAAGAGCCAACTTAACACCCTTGTTGATTTTTTTTCAATTGTCTTTCTATTTCCTTTTTCATTTATTTTTGCTTGAATCTTTATTTATTTACTTCTGGTGACCGTAGGCTTTTTGGCTGCTCTTTTTCCAGTTGTTGGAGATGTTGGGTTAAGGTGTTGATTTTGGCTCACTCTTTTTTCTTTTTTCATGAAAATTGCCCTCTGATCACTGCCTTTGTGGTGTCCCAAAGATTTTTTTTTCAGTCTGTTATGTTTTCATTCTCATTTGATTCAAGGAATTTTTTTTATTATTTTATTTTTTATTTCTTCTGTTAGGAGCTCTGGTAGTATAGTGCCTAAGGCATTTGACTGCTAACCAGAAGGTTGGTAGTTTAAATCCACCAGCTGCTCCATTGAAGGAAGATGGGGCTATCTACTTCTGTAAAGATTTACTGCCTTGAAAACCCAATGTGGGTCACTGTGAGTCAGAATCAACTTGATTGCAGTGAGTTTTGTTTTGTTTTGTTTGTTTTTTGTTTTATTTCTTCTATTACCCATTAGTTTTTAAGGGTGTTACTCAGTTTACTGGGAGCTCTGGTAGCATAATGGCTAAGGCACTTGACTGCTAACCAGAAGGCTGGCAGTTCAAACCCACCAGCCACTCCTCAGACGGAAGATGAGGCAATCTACTTCCATAGTGATACTACCTCAGAAACCCAAGGGGGGGTCGCTATGAGTCGGGTGCAACTCAGCACTTAACAACAGCAGCTCAATTTACATGTGTTTGCTCTTTTTCCTTTGCTCTTCCTATTGTTATTTGAATTTTGTAGCATTGTGATCTGTGAACATGCTTTGCAGTATTTCAGTGTTTTTTAAATTTATTGAGGCTTGTTTTATGACCTAACGTGTTCTACCATGGAGAATGTTGCATGTGCACTGGAAAAGAATGTATATTGTGCTGTTTTTGGGTGAAGTGCTCTGTATATGTCTATAAGGTCAGTGGTTGATTGTATTGTTTAGTTCTTCTGTGTTTTTGTTGAGTTTCCTTCCTTCATTCATTGTAATTATATTTAATCACAACAGATTGTCTGTTGATGTAGTTTGTCCAAGAGTGTTTTTTGTTTGTTTCATTTTGATATATCTGGATAAGCAGGATACCATGCTTCTCTGGGAGCTCTGGTGGCATAGTGCCTAAGACATTTCACTGCTAACCAGAAAGCTGGTGGTTCATACCCACTAGCTACTCCTCAGAAGGAAGACTGGGTAATCTACTTCCATAGAGATTTTTGTTTTTGTTGTTGTTATGTGCTATCAAGTCAGACCTGACTCATAGCGACCTCTCCTTGGGTTTCCGAGGCAATATCACTACAGAAGTAGATTGCCCCATCTTCCTTCTGAGGAGTGGCTGGTGGGTTTGAACTGCCAGCCTTCTGGTTAGCAGTCAAGTGCCTTAGCCACTATGCTACTAGAGATACTGCCTTGGAAATCCAAGGAGGGGTCGCTATGAGTCTGAATCAACTCGACAGCAGTGAGTTTGATTTTTTTTGTTTTCATGCTCCTCTATTCGCTAGCTGGCAGCCCTTAGACACTCACCACCCGTCGCCTGATGGGTGTGATAGAGATTGAGAGTATGTACACAGATCTTTGTTAGCTGTTCATGAAGAGCAGTTAAAGGTGATCCCATAGATCCCATAGAACATGGAAGTTATCAAACAATATCATATGCAAGTAAACTCTTGCTGAAGATAATTCAAAAACAATTGCAGCAGTATGTTGATAGGGAACTTCCAGAAATTCAAGCTGGATTCAGAAAAGGACATGAAATGAGAGATATCATTGCTGATTTCAGATGGATCTTGGCTGAAAGTAAAGAATACTAGAAAGATATTTGCTTGTGTTTTATTGACTGTGCAAAAGCATTTGACTATGTGGATCATAATAAACTATGAATAACATTGAGAAAAATAGGAATTCCAGAACACTTCATCATGCTCATGTGGAACGTTTACATAAAGCAGTAGACTGTTGTTCAAACAGAGTAAGTGGGTACTGCATGGTTTAAAATTAGGAAAGGTTGGTGTCAGGGCTTTATCCTTTTACCATACTTATTCAGTCTGTATGCTGAGTAAATAATTCCAGAAGCTAAACTATATGAAGAAGAATGTGGCATCAGGGTTGGAGGACAACTCATTAACAGTCTCCGATATGCATACGACACAACCCTGCTTGCTGAAAGTGAAGATGGTTTGAAGCACTTACTGATGAAAATTAAAGACTACGAATTATAAAATAAAATTATAAAAAATAAAATAAAATTATAGTCTGCAATAGGGATTACACATCAACATAAAGAAAACCAAAATCCTCACAATTGGACCAATAAGCAGCATTGTGATAAATGGAGAAAAGATTGACGTTGTTAAAGATTTCAAATTTCTTGGATCCATAGTCAGCACCAGTGGAAGTAGCTGTCAAGAAATCAGACATCATATTACACTGGACAAATGTACTACAAAAGACCTCTTTAAATTGGTGAAGAGAAAAGATGTCTCTTTGAAGACTAAGGTGTGCCTAACCAAGCTGTGGTATTTTCATTCGCCTCATAATCATGTGAAAGCTGGACAACAAATAAGGAAGACTGAAAAAGCGTTAATATTTTTGAATTACAGTGTTGACAAAGAATACTGAAAGTAGCATGGACTGCCAGAACAACAAACAAATCTGTCCTGGAAAAAGTGCACCCATAATGCTCCTTGGAAGCAAGTGTCAACGGACTTCATCTCACCTACTTTGGTCACAGTGTCAGAAGGATATTAAGTTTCGTATAGCTAAGGCTGGCGGTTCAAATCCACCAGCAACTCCTCGGAAGGAAGGTTGGGCAATCTACTTCCATAGTGATACTGCCTCAGCAACCCAAGGAGGGGTCGCTATGAGTTGGGTCCGACTCGACGGCACATAACAACAACAACAGTAGATGTTCAGAGAAAAAGGAGAAGACTCTCAACAAAATGGATTGACACAGTGGCTGCCACGATGGGCTCATATACAGCAAAGACTGTGGGGATGGCCCACAACCAGGCAGTGTTCTGTTGTACATAATAGGGTCAGTATGAGTCAGAGCTGACTTGACAACAACAAGAAGCGGCTAAACATTCGTAGAAGGGTGGCATGCCAACCTTTGCGGGAATTCAGCTGGTACCGCAGCTAATCCCATAGGAAGAATACTAAGACATTTCTAAGGACCTAGCTCATTAATGCATCAGAAAACCTCAGTTGCAAATGTGGGCTGTGTATATTAACAAAAATGTTCTTAATATATAAGCTACAAATGGAAAGGAGACTTCTGAAGAAGTAGTTTATCATTTTACCCTACTCTGGTAGCATAGTGGCTAAGACACTTGCCTGCTAACCAGACGTCTGGCGGTTCAAACCCACCAGCCACTCCTCGGAAGGAAGGTTGGGCAATCCTACTTCCGTAGTGATAACTGCCTCGGAAACCCAAGGAGGGGTCGCTATGAGTCGGGGCCGACTCGACGGCACACAACAACAACAACAAAATAGCAATGCGTGATTGTAATTTCTATAGCTTTGTATATGTGAATGTTTTTATATTTTGTGTGAGACAGCATTTAAACAATTCTTGCTTGTTTTCAGATGCCCGGGCCTGGAAGATCCCCAGGATCTTTTCATGGTTGCAGCAGGAAGGGCACCTCTCTGAAGAAGAGATGGCTAGAACATTTAACTGTGGGATCGGAGCTGCCCTTGTGGTACCCAAGGATCTGACAGAGCAGATTCTTAGGGATATTCAGCACCACAAAGAAGCAGCCTGGGTGATTGGCAGTGTGGTTGCATGTGCTGCAGGTAATCACTGCTTATTTATTTGCTTTTAGGTACATAATCTTAAATATTTAACTATTCTCTCTCTCATGAGCTCTCTGTCCAACTTTTATTCCTATCTCAAGATTCCCTGGCATCTCTGTGTAGCAATCACATATGCACAACCTGGAAGGTCAGGGAATTATACCTCACAGGTCAACACTTGACTTGAACGATTTGAGCTGGTGAATAAATACCCACCTTAGGGACAGAAGAGGAGAGTAATTCTGAGACATAGTCGGCATGGCTCTTTGGACACTCTGAGTGGGCTTGAGCCCCAGTTGCCCTCAGTGGTGACCAATGTAGTCACACATTCTTATATTGGTTCTCCTTGTATCACTCTTCCCAGACCTTCACTCTGATTCCCTGGCATCACTTCCCAAAATAATCTACATATATGGAACCCTTTGTCTCAGATTCTGCTTTGTGATTCAGCTCAATTCACAAAGTATTTAGTGAGCACCCAACAAGCACTGTGTGTTAATCAAGAATGTTGCTAGGAAGTGGCAGAAACTCCACTCAGATTAGCTAAAAAGGATGTCAGAGCCTGTTAACTTAGTGTATATCTACATTTCTTTCCTTTACTGTGTAGGCTTGATTTTTAGGCAGTTTCTCCAAATGCCAGAAAGATACCTTGAATCCACATCTTTTAGCTCATAGTGCAATAAGAATGAGGCCTTCTCTTTCTCAGCGTTCTAGATAAATCTTTGAATAGCATTGTTTGAGTCATTATGCCTGTTCCAGAGGTCAGGGCACCATCATAGACAGTCTCACTAGAAAGATGGAGAAGGCAGAATACTGACAAGCAGCAATATATATAGTATATGCCTGTTAGCTGCTGTAAGCTCTGCCCGATGAGTAGTGGCTACGTGTGCGGTATGTTAGCCAAGCACTTAACCTGACTCTCCCACTTAGAAGGTGAGAATTCTCCCAGTGAACCACCATTGCCCCCATTACTATCTGCTTAAATATAGTAGTATGCTGATTAGCTCTTAATTAAAGTAAGTGATTATATAAGTTTACCTTCAGGAGGTTTTTATGAATGAGTAATACTAAATGATTCAAGGCTGTTAGTGGTTTTATTCTTGCATATCTTGTTTTCAGAATAAAATATAGCATTGTAAAGTTTGCATAAAGTTTTTTTTTCCCCTATTATTCCTGTTAATTCACAAATGTTCTTTACTTATTTATGATTGTGTTTCAAATGAAGAGTCCCCTCGTGTGAAAGTCAGACATCTGGTTGAAAGCATGCAGATAAATGGGTCAGTGTTGAAGAATGACTCCCTGGAAAACCATTTCTCTGTTCAACCGAAAAAGGCAAGAGTTGCTGTCTTAATATCTGGAACAGGTGAGATGGGGCCTCTTCTTAACTGCAGAGTTGTAGAAATGCTCTCAGCAGAGTAAGATGGGGGAATATCCTGAGATAATGAAGGAGTGTTATATTTTTAGCATCCCTAGTCTTTCCACTTTTCATATGCTTTTGGAGCAGCTCCCAATGGTAAAGATAGAGTGTGAGGAAGATGGTAGAAGGAAGAGGAATTAGAAAAGATGGAAATTCTACCTTCTTCTGTGTCACAGCTATGTGATTTAAAAGTCTTAGAACAGTAGATGTTTTTTTTATTGTTAATAAGACAAAAAAAAGTATGTTTAACCTTTGTAGCTAAAAGAATAATGAGAGCATTATATACTTTCAGATTAATATAGCATGATTTTTTTTCACTAGTGTAAGTAACATTGCTATGAATGTTCTTCTACATATAGAACACACGCTTAAGTGTTGTTATAAATATATAACATGTTCTTAAATATCTGATTATTTATTTAGGGTGCATTCCCAGAAGTGCAATTGCTTAACAAGTCAGTTCTGAGGTTTCAATACATATTAGGCCAAAGTTGATGGTAAAGCAAGGGAATTACTGTAAGGGCCATAGTGGTTTACTCTTGAGAGTTACTTTTCCTTGCTTAATTAAGCAGCTTATTCCTTATCAATCAGCTTTAAAATCCTGCTTTAAAATAATAGGATCTACTGTTATTTTGCAGTAACAATTATATATCCTACAGCTGTGAATGCCTATGTTTTTCAGAATCTGTCATTTATCCTGAGAGGAAGGAAATAAATTAAGCCTCACATACTTTGCCAGTCTTATGTATTAAATTTATTAAAAATATTGGCCTTTCACTATTCCAAATGCCATGTGTGTCTTTTCAGGATCAAACCTCCAGGCACTCATGGACAGTACTCAGGAACCAAACAGCTCTGCACACATTGTTATTGTTATATCCAACAAAGCTGCAGTGGCTGGGTTAGATAAAGCAGAGAGAGCGGGTATTCCCACCAGAGTAAGTTTGTGTTGTTTCTTGTTTGTTTGTTTAAATTTATCATTCCTACAGGCTGTATTTAAACTCAGAATAATCTGCCTTCACTGCACACTGGTCTGTGGGGCACTTGTTCTTTTAGATCTCTACAAAGGACATTTTAGGTAGGTGCTTAGGTTGCTTCATCCTGTTCTTCATCATAATTCAGCATGTCTTCAGAAGGACAGAGTGTGAAAATTGAGTCCTATTTGTGGAAATTCATTGAAAGGTCATGCTTATCTTTTTCTATTACAGGTAATAAACCATAAATTATATAAAAGTCGTATAGAATTTGACAATGCAATTGACCAAGTCCTCAAAGAGTTCTCCACGGACATAGTCTGTCTTGCAGGATTCATGAGAATTTTATCTGGCCCTTTTGTCAGAAAATGGAATGGTAAGCAAAAATTGTTTGGCATGATATTGAGGAATCAACTGAAAATGAACTATAGAGGCGTTAACTTGCCGGCAGACCCAGTAATAAATATCTACTGACATTTTGTTTTAACATGGATTTAATTTCCTTTGCTTTAGCTCAAAGGATGACCCAATAATGATTTATTAACCTGCTGTCCATCCTTTTTTGGCCTGCTATAGTTAGTGTAGTTAGTTCTTACAGCTTAGGTAAGAGGGTTGTTTCACATGACTGCATATGCCATTGATAATACTTAATTTTCTTAATAAATCTATGAAGAGACAGTTTTGGTTATTTAGAAGCTAGAAAAAAATGCTTCCTGGCAGCCCAAAATGAAGAGTCTTTCCTCTCTTAGGGAAGTGTAGACCATGGCAAGGAATATGTCATTACAGAAAACACACACTCTTCTGTGTTACTGCTTTTTTCCTAAAAAGTCTGTCTGCATCCTATTTACCTTTGTTATGTAATTAATGTATAACATTTGGGCAGTTAATGCATTTTCCCTCCAAAGAGTTTATATTTTCTTGAGTGAGTGTAGTTAAGAGAAGTTGTGGTGTGATATAAAATAGGCAATGGCCTGGTGACATAAGGCACATACCAAATTCAAACCAGTTGCCATCGAGTTGATTACAACTCACGGCAACCCCCTATGTGTCAGAGTAGAACTGTGCTCCATAGAGTTTTCAGAAGTAGATCGCCAGGACTTTCTTCCAGTGTACCTCTGGGTGGACTCAAACCACCAACCTTTTGATTAGCAGCCAAGCACATTAACCATTTATGCCACCCAGGGATTCCTGTAGGGCACACAGAACTAATTAATGTCTGGTAGGCATGCCACTTCATAGTTAAAAGTGAAGCATGCATACATCAGAGTCCCTCATCATGGCTTCTGTGCATAGGACAGATGCTAGCTGCCACCAGAGCCTGCTTAGATGAGAACTCACATTTCCCTTTATCTCATCTTTGCCTTTGACAATGACAACACCCATCCCAGAGAAATCCTGCTCGTGTAGCCTCTTGGTTCCAGATGGGAAAGCCTTTGACAAAACACATAGGATTTTAAAATTCTAACCACTCTACTTTTGTTACTTTCTAGGGAAAATGCTCAACATCCACCCATCCTTGCTCCCTTCTTTTAAGGGTTCAAATGCCCATGAGCAAGCCCTGGAAGCTGGCGTCACAGTCACTGGCTGCACCGTACACTTTGTAGCTGTGAGTTTGTATTTTTTCTACCAAAATACTTTGAGCATTTAGTTATATTCATATTGGAGAGAAGATAAAGTGTAAAACATTTGCTTGCTTTTCCAGGAAGATGTAGATGCTGGACAAATTATTTTACAAGAAGCTGTTCCAGTGAAGAGAGGTGACACTGTTGCAACTCTGTCTGAAAGAGTAAAAGTAGCAGAACATAAAATATTCCCTGCAGCCCTCCAGCTGGTGGCCAGTGGAACAGTGCAGCTTGGAGAAAATGGCAAGATCTGTTGGGTCAAAGAGGAATGACGCTTCCAATTCAGAAACAAAGAACTGGGTAAAAGAGAGTAAAGCCTCTTAATTCAGAAATGGGGCCATTCTTGAAAGAATTATGGCTGTTTGCATGGTAGCTTTTTGTCATGGACTCGGCCCAGAAGAAAAACTACTAAAAGAAGATTTTACCCTTACCTCTATGGCCATTTTTATATGAACTGAGATTTAGTGAAAATAAGACCAGCACAACATAAACAAGAGTGCTTAAAAGACATGCAGGTTCATACCCAATACCACCTAGTAGAAGTCATATCTAAGATGTATACTTTACGCCAGTGATATTTCAGGTCTTACCTGTTTAAGTTTGTCACTCAAAATTTTTCACTTTCAGCCAAACAAGATACTAAAAGTCTTGGTCTGTCTTATCCTCTTTATCTGACAGATATCACCTCCATTTTAGGTTACATGTTATATCAGCTTTGAAGGGTTAACTAACAAGACTAATAAGTTCGTATCTTTTCATGTTATATATCTATACTGATTTTAATGGAGACTCCCTGGTTATCCTGATCATAATTTGCTGTCATAAGATTTCTAAGTTGTTCCCATTTAATACCCAGAGTTTAGCTTCTAATGTAAGGATTATAAATATCCATACTTTAAACTAGAGGATTGAGTAGAAAGTTTGGTGGCTTTATAGATTCGAATATAAAACTATGGGCACCTTCTCTCTTTTCCTCATCTAGAGTAGACAAATGCCTATCATACAGTTTGTTTTGAGAAATAATTTAATACATGTCAAGTGCTAAGTTCAGTGTTTGATACAGAGTAGGCACTCAAAGGCTAGTTATATTTCATATTTCTGACTTTAAAAGCCATTGTGATTTATTATTCAACAAACATGTCTTGAGCATATTTGGAAGAGTGATAAATGGAGTATTGGAAGTGTTCTAATACTGTCAGGGAGGGATGTGGGTAAATGGAGGGCAATGCAGGGCAGATTACTACCCAGACAAGAAATAGATTATAAAGAGGCAGCATGCGTTTTCAACTCCATGAAATAGATTATAAAGAGGCAGCATGTGTTTTCAACTCCATGTCATCATTTCCACTCAGGGCATGGTCTAAATTGGCATACTGGGTATATGTGCATGGTCCTAGCCATAGGAGGCCAAGCTTAGCACTACCTTTCTTTGCTGCCACAGCTGAATAAATAAGGAATAGCCACCTAACCTAACCCAAAGGCAGCCATCATCCCATCACTGCTAAGCAGTCTTTAGGTGGTGTGGCTTAGAGCCCTGCCTGACCAAAGGGTGTACTTTCCTGAAGAATGCCAAGAGAATTTGTTCAAATACTCTTTGGGAAAGGATCAGGAGTTTAAATCAGGGAGTTCACATTTACAACATCACAGCAAAGGATTCTTACAGGTAGAACCTGAAGACAGTAAAGAGAAGGTCAAGAGAAGCAGGAGGTCCCTATTCATTGCCTCTGCTGCATGTAGTTTCCCAAGGACTGGCAACCACCATTGACTGTGGTCAGCAGCCTGCATCAGTGTGAAGTCCAGGTGCATCACTCACACAGGTCCCTTTGTTGTAATAACTCATTTGTTCTGGAAGTTCATTGGACATATTTTAGTACTTATTACGTATATGCCAAACACTAGAAAGTGCAGAGATGTGAAGGAAAATAGGAAAAAGTAGAGGCTGGTACCAGGATAGTAAATTGGAAAAATCTTTGTGAACTTATGACCTTAAAAAGATAATTTTCTGTCCTTTCTTTGATACTAATCTCCACTAAAAGTAACCTAGACTCAGTATAAGACAATTGATTACATCTTTTAGGAAGCATAAAAATGTGTGTGAAATAGCTGGTTGTCAAAAACCAAAAAAAGTACTTGAAAATAGGTATGATACTAAAAGAGCAAAGGAGTCAGTTAAAAGGGGTCCTGCTGACTAGTTTGCCAAATTAAGTATCATGTATTTGGACATGTTGAGTCTGAGCAGACATTAGTTTACAGTGTTCCTCAAAGGTCACTTAAAAAGTAGTAATAATGTAAAAAAGAAGGATAAAAATACACTGATATTGATGTAATAAACATAGGTATTTCTCTTTTGTTATAGATGTTTCTGTTTGTGTTTGTGTAAGCAGAAATGGAACGGATCATTTGTGATCACACAGGTAGAAAGATGCTGTGGGGGGGACATTTCCAACTGTTAATTGGCCATGTTGGTCACACACAATCAAAGAGAAAAGATTTGACAGTGCATTCTAAGATGATACTAAGTTATATATTCTACAAAGGAATGTTGTAATTTGTTAAAGAGTCATTTAATGTTCAGCTGCTAACCAAATGGTCGGCAGTTCAAACCCACCACCTGCTCCATGTGAGAAAGATGAAACAGTCCACTTCCATAAAGATTTATAGCCTTGGAAGCCCTGTGGGGCAGTTCTACTCTGTCCTATAGAGTTGGTATAAGTCGAAATTGGCTCATTGGTACTAGGTTTGGTTTTTTCCAATTCTCCCATGCTTTTCTGTCCTTGTGCATATTTAGGTCAGCTTACATGGTTTTAAAATTTATGTAAGACTTATTTTCAAATATATATATTTCTTAATTTTTTTATTGACAGTATAACACATACAGAAAAAAGTACACAAATCATAAGCATAACACTCAGTGATTTTCAAAGTGAACAGACTTGAGAAACCAACCCATATAAGAAACTGCCAGTATTCCAGAAATTTTTCTCTTACCCCTTCCAGTCACTATCCACCCACAACTCCCACATTCACAAGGGTAATCACTCTTTTGACATCTAATTAGTTCTGCTGGTTTTAGGCTTTATGTAACTGGAATCCTACAATATATACTTTCTTTGTGTCTTGTTCATTTGCTCACATCAGATTAATGGCATCCATATTGTTGCATGTATTTGTAGATCATTTGGAATTCCAGTGTCTGAATATACCACAGTTTAGTATTGATACAAATTTTGGTGTTTCCAGGCTCAGGAGCTCAAAAGGGTGGGAGTTGGAACTGGTGAACCTTTCAGAGAGGAGGTTAGGAATTATAGACCAAAGATCCCTACTGTACATTTTGTAAGTTCTCCTTGTTTTTCTGTTTTTACTGTGGTTCAATTCTCTGGTATTGGTTGCTGGTGAATGTCATACAAACTACTATGCTCATTTTATCTTTGAAAGTCACCAGGAAGGTGGAGCGCTGATGCCCTCTCCCTCTCCCCAATCAGGCTAAGGCGGAAGACCCCACAGGCATACCTGTGGATGCTGGCAGCTCCAGGAGAAGATGAGGCCTGGTTCCTTTTACAAAAAAGACCACAGAAGTAGTTTGGGGCCTGAAACCATTTTCTAGCCACAATAACATGGGCCTATATTATGATGATGGGATAAGTCTCTTATGTTAAGAAATACATTTTTTTTTTTTTAATAAATATAAGTGATGCCAAGAGTTTTAAATGTGGGCTGGAATTGTGGGGTGGAGGGAGAGAAATGAAGTCAAAAGAATCTGTCTTTGTGTGTGTGATTTGGGTCAAAGTTTACAGAGCAAATTCATTTTCCATATAGCAGTTCATAAACATTTTGTGTCATGACATTGATTACAAACCCCGTAACAGCTCTCTTACCACTTCCTCCCTGTAGTTACCTTTTCCCTGTGTTCTTTCCTATGCATTCCTGCCCCCTGAGCTATCTCCTTGGGCAAATACTGTCCCGTTTTCCTATGATTGATTTAAGAAATGTTACCTCCCTGGTGTAAATGTTCACCCTGTATGCCTGTCTATTGTTAAGAGAATGTCTTGAAAGGAAGACTCAAAGCTTAGGGGGACACTTGGCTTCTGCTAAGGTGCTCTGGTGGCACAGTTCCTCAGGCATTTGACTGCTAACTAGAAGGTTGGCAGTTACACCCTCTAGCCACTCCATGGAAGGAAGATGGGGCTATCTGCTTCTACAAAGATTTACAGCCTCAGAAACCCAGTCACTATGAGTCAGAATTGACTTGATGACAATGACTTTGGGTTTGGTTTTGGTTAGAGCTTCTGTTAAAGGTAATGGTATAATTTGGGAACAGGTGGTGGTGGTGGTGGTGTTAGGTGCCATCGAGTCATCTCTGATGCATAGCTACCCTGTGCACAGCAAAAGGAAACACTGCCTGGCCCTGTGCCAGCCTCACAATCCTTGCTATAAAGCCCATTGTTGCAGGCACTGTATCAGTCCATCTCATTGAGGGCCTTCCCTCTCATTGACCCTCCACTTACCAAGCATGATATCCTTCTGCAGGGAATGATTCCTTTTGACAACGTGACCAAAGTAGGTGAGACGACGTCTGGCCATTCTCACTTCCAAGGAGCATTCCAGCTGCACTTCTTCAAGTATAGATTTGTCACTTCTTTCAGCAGTCCATGGTACTCTTGGCATTCTTCTCCAACACCACAACTCAAAAGCATCAACTCTTCTTCGGTCTTCCTTATTCATTGTCCAGCCATCACATGGACAAGAGGCGATTGAAAACACCATGGCTTGGATTAGGTGCACCTTAGTCTTCAAGGAGACATCTTTGCTCTTCATCACTTGAAAGAGATGTTTTGCAGCAGATTTGCCCAGTGAAATATGTTGTCTGATGTCTGGTGCTTTATGAGCCTACAAGATTGTAAACAGGGAACCAGAGACATCAAAAGTGAGGACAACTAGAAACAAAAAGAGGGAAAATACTGTGTAGTTACAGAACTTCTAAATGGTGGGGAAGTTAAGAGAGTTGCAAGATAGAATGGACTGTGCTAAACTTGGGGAGAAAATTATAAATCACAGGGTAACCTCAAAGAAAAATGATAAACCTTCATATCACAATGAAAAAGAGGACAGGCACAAATATTCAGCATATACTAAAACAACAGCAACAAAGGAAGTGATATGATCCATAAACATAAGGAGCTCAGCACAGAAAATAATATGGAACAAAGAAACCAGGGACACCATGAAAAAACACATAACAAAATGACAGCGACAAATTCATACTTATCAATAA